ATATGATTCCATGACCTGGCCTGAATCTTTTGCAAAATACTGTTAAACTGGGGTCGATATCAAACCTCCAATGTTTTCTGGTACAAACAAAAGTTTGTCTGTGGCAGCAAGTATTTTATAATGTTGTTAACTACCAAAGGCTGGCATTCAATTATTCATAGCTTGCTTATTCTGTGATCAGACAGCTTCTGATTAAAATCAAAGTTTCATATTTTAATTCAAGTTGGTGCTTGCATCTACGTGGTATCTATGGTTGTTTCCAGTTTCCAGGAATGTTTTTAGGATATTTTCAAGTCTAGTTAAAGGGTGGATCGATTAAGTCAAAGCTAGAAAGGTTATCTTAAAATTTGTTAGGCAATCTACAAGTATTAAACTGAAAATATCGTTTTTTTGCTTTGACTTATCATTAAGAAGTTATCGTTGATTTCACAGTGTAATGGCTACAGAATAATGCCATCTGCATTTAGACTGGTAGCATATGAGCCTTGCTTTCACTATGCAATTCTGTCCTTCACCAGGTACAATCTAACAGGAAAATAAAGGCTTGATTTATGGAACAAAGGATGTGGGCCGGTGATAGTGAAACCAAAACAGGGATACAGAGGATAGCGCTTTTGATAGCTATCAGTAGCTATACCCAGTTATCACAGAGTATCAATGCAAGTTCTTTGCGACTACTATCCCCATGGATGGAAATGGTGGACAGTGGAAAGGCCGAAGTAACTGTAGAAAACAAAATGCAGCGTGTCATGTGTTGTTGGTAGTTGCTGGGCTCCGAGGAAAACGGACAGTTATTCCGTTGTCTTTGGGAATGCTAGGGGAAGGAAGCTGAAAAGTTTTCTCTTGAAGAGATATAAAAAAAAAATTCAAGTAAAGGCTACTGTTTTGAAAAATGTTTAAAGAAACAGTATTTGTTGCTTTGTATCAAAAAAGAAGATTGAACTTTTTTTCCCAATAATGGGTTAAGATGAACCCTTGCATTTCTTAAAGAAAAATCTCAAAAGTCGGTTGTTATATTGCAGGTTTTGATTTAAATGATCTTGTGAATGTCTGCATTCATTAGGTGTAGTCAGGGTGTTTAGTATAAGAGTATTTTTAAAAGATGATTACTTTCTTTTGCATACTGAGTGTATATGGTGATCTATACTGTAAGTCAGATGACTGATCTATGAACTGCGTATACAGGAAACTAGAAACATATTTAGACGCACTTAGGAAGACAAGATAGCTGAAAACATTTGGTGGATAAAGCTTTGTGTTCTGGCAAAGAGTCGTGCAACATGTTTTAATTTTGATGGATCCAAATCATTGACTATTTTACATCTGCTTGTATTTAGACAGCAGCTTATTTAATTTAAGCAAACAAGTTAATACTTTCCATAGTACGGCATTAATTGTACAAAAAATGCTTCTCACAACAGAAGTACAACTCTTAAACTCTCCAATAACAGCAAAACCCACTATGGTAAAATGCCACATAACCTCAGATCTGTGCTTGACTGGTTAGGTGATTTCCTGTTTCTTCTTGAGGCAAAATGTAGGAAATTGAAACATATGCTTGGTGACTGAGCTGATGTCTGCTGTCTGTCCAGAAAGTTGGCTGCCTTTTTCTGTCTGTCTTTTGTCTGTGGGCAGCAAAGTTGATACTGCCAAGACTGCGCCTCAAGGGGTGTGTGTGTGTATGTGTGTGTAAGAAACTTGCTAGTTAATGAGATGGATTTCTGCTGACCGGGACACCGCACACCAGTCGCACCATAATGCTTGTGCAGGTCAGGATTTATTTCCCAGCCATGCTGCTCTCCAGTGACTAAACAGGCTGGCATGTAATGTATCAGGAGCGAATTCATGACATGTAGTGAGGCAGGCGGACAGATAATCAGTCAGACAGACAGAAGAGTCTTGCCCCATTTTCTGCTTCAACTACAGAGCTCAGGGGCAAGCGGGTAGTCCTCGGTGTCTAGCAGGTGTTGAACCATGTGATAGTGCAACACGGGGTGGCAATGCTAAAAATCAGCAGCAGAGAGACAGAAGAAATAAATCCGCAGACAGGATTGAAATCCTATTTTGCTGCGGATGACCAGCTGCACAGGACTTATCAGAGATCAATGTAAATATAACACACGTCAGTGCTTTTTCTCTCATGTGAGATATGAAAACGAAGCCCACAAGGACTAAATCCATCTGCACCTGAGCCTCTTTATTTGCTGACATTTCGCTCAGCTGACTTTTCTCAAGACAACAAGTACTATCTTGGGATTCCATTTTTTTTTTTTTTGTCTTGAAAAAGGTCAGCAGACCGAAACAAAAGACAATAAAGCTGTGCAGAGGAAATCTCTTGTCTCTCACTTGCTCCTGTCTCCCTTACTTCCTGTCTCTCTCAGGGACATCTCACTGCGGTAGTGTACAAGGCGGTACCAAGTGTTCATTTTTAACTTAATATGCAAATGTCACCAGCAAAGTCAGGAATGAGTCTATGAAGTCTCTGAAGCTTGTAAGTCATGATGAGAGAGACCAAGGAGAGAGAGGAGAAGACAGAGATGGCCACAGCAACAGTGAGAAATAGACCCATTATGTAACCAGTTTATTCAAGGATCCTTGTAACTCCCTTTTTAACAACAGCAATAAATTTCATAACAGTCTCCAATCATATCATGTCTGCCAAGGAAACCCCAGAGAAACGCTATGAAAATATGTGAAGTGGAATACAACTGCCCTTTTCCATCTCTATTAAGTTTCAAGGCTGTTTCCAAATGAGCAGAACAAAGACTGGACAGTCCAGACCATGACCAAAGAAGGGCAGGGCAAGAAAGATTAGTAACAACAACAGCAACGATGAAGAGGAAGACTGTGGCTAAAGGTACAACTTAAACCAATCAAGGACACAATACTTTGTCATGCCTCCTAGTTTCATCTAAATTAAACCAGAGTTATGTCCCAATGTGGCCAATCTTTGTCATGTGTAAGGATTTCCGTGTCTCCCCTACCACAGAGAGCAGTGGGCTCACTAATCTCTATGTGCAGCCTTTGTCACGGAGGTTAACAACCGTGCTAACTCATTGTTCAGTGGCTTGTGGATTGATTATAATACTGCAAGGGAGAAATTGTGAAAAGGGATATCGTCAAAGTGAGCTGGAGGGATCAAGAGGTGAGGGTGACACCTCACCAAAGCGAGCATTCATTACCAATTTAAAAATCCTATCACAAATGATTTAATTAAACTTGATATAAAGATTAAAAAAAAAAACAGACAAACGTGAAACTCTATTAGGAGCTGCGCCTTGTCAAAATAAATCAAATCCTATATGACCAGATGATGCGGAAATTTAATTTAAGAATTTAATAAAAGGACAGACACAGGAAGTGACCACACTCAGCAGTCAGACAGGAGTCAGGTTAATTTCCAGGGCTGGTACCTGCGGTTATTCCACAGGCTAGTTAATAACATGTTGGGCAGGAAATCCAAAGTGTGGGATCATTTTGAGAAGCTGAAGGACGAACCCAAGGTGATATGTAAACTCATCTTCATTGGTCGACTACAAACATGACGTATCATCTGAAACATGGAGGTAGCTACATGTCCATTAGCCACTTAGCACAATCATGACTGCTTTGCCGACAGCGTCATTAACAGGCGGCTCGCTCAGTGTGTGACGTGCACTTGTAGATAAAATATAGGCCTATATTAATGAAGGTTCATTAGTACGCTTTTGTATTTCTCTGTAATGTAGCACAGTGTTAACAATGTTACTGATACTATTCTTTCTCACACCTTCAACTCAAACCACTGAGTTACCCCGCCCACAATAAATCATTTAATAATTAAACTAATATCGTAAACAAGCAGCCGACTGGTCGACTTATGGCCCTAAATGATGACTATTGGTTGACTAGGAAAACTCTTAGTCAAGGGCAGCCCTATTAATAACTATTAAGTAATAGTGAGAGGTGTCATATTATAATGGTCACATTGTAAAACTTTATGAATATATTTGGATTTAACTAGTTAGCT